AAGTCACGTAGAATGGAAATAATAAAATAATAAAAATAAAAACATAATCAAATAATTCTCACGACGTTTCGGCCATAACGCAAGCAGCCGTCCTCAGGTAAAGAATAGGTCTGTCGGGGAGACAGCGTCTGAATGGCAGACCTGGTCTTCACCTGAGGACGGCTGCTTGCGTTGTGGCCGAAACGTCGTGAGAATTATTTTATTATGTTTTATTTTTATTATTTTATTATTTCCATTCTACGTGACTTTACCGAAAGAACAGAGAAGATAAACCACACTTTGTTTTAATCGTGGGGAAAGGCTGTTAAGCATTTTGCAGTACATTGGCAAAGCAAGGGGATAAGCATGTGGATTGGGGCTGGCTTGCCTGGCTGACGTCACTATGCTTCTTTGGAGTGTCGGTTTTTTTTCTCTCTTCTAATTTGGAGAGTAGGTGCTGTATTTTATCGTGGCCTCGTTCAATTATGCAAATATCACATACCATCCGTGGCATCGCTCCGAAAGCGTTGCGAGTTGCAGAACTCTGCTGGAGAAACCAAACCCTCCTCCTCCCCCCCGTTTCGATTATCCTCTCGGCCAAAAGCTGCCGAAACAGCGGATTTGGCTTGAGTCTGCGGCTCAGATTTGATCCCTGAGGGTTTAATAAATGGTACCAACATTGGCAAGTTGCATGAAGACGACGAGACTTGGCGAATGGCGTGTTGCGCGCCAGCCTCAGCGACTTTCACGTTAATGGCTCAGCCACGCGTGTCCACCTGTAATCTATTGCGGTGTTTTATAGGGGAGCAACACATTTCATTGTTTTTTATTTACATCGGCCAGATGGGTCGTATTAATACATTTAGAGTCACGCATTTCCCATAAGCTTGTTATAATAAAGAGGGAGTTTGTCTTCTAATGCTGGGGTGGGTTCATTTTAATCAAATTTTTCATGCAACTTGTCAGCTGTTTCATTTCTATGTATGCGCGTTGTTGGATGTGATGCAATTGCAGTGACAAATTTATATAAGGGAAAAACTCAACATAGGAATCGTGAATTCGTTGTCCTTTTCCTCTCACCCCAGGGAGTAAAACGACTGATATTATGAAAGTACAGTATGCATAATTGTGTGTATGCATGCGTGTGTGTGTGTGTGACTGTAGGGTGGGGAGCGGTAGTGTCGTGATCAGCGCGCTGCGCTACGAACCTGGCGCCCCGGGTTCAATTCCCGCTCACGGCCAACACCCAGTGACGATTATCTGAACCGGTCCTGGGCCTCCCCTAGGTCGACTCAGGCTCAAATGAGTACCTGGTGCAATGGTGTGTAAACATCGCCACGAGGGAGACAAAGGCGGCCAGGCGTGGTGTTGGTCACCCGCCCCCTCGTGTGCCGTGTCGGCCTTCATAGATGCTCGCTAACAGCACTTGCCCCTACAGTCTGTTTGTTATCTGTGTGACTGTATGTAACATTAATGTGGGGCGGTAGTGTACTGGTTAGCCCACTGCGCTACGAACCCAGTAACCGCTCATGGCCAACACCAGTAACAATTATTTGAATCTGTCCTGGGCCTCCCTTAGGTCGACTCAGCCTCGAATGTGTGCCTGATACAATGTGCAAACAACACTACTCGGGAGACAAAGACTGAATGGTGCAGGCCACCCACACCCTCGTACACTTTGCTGGTCTTAATAGGTGCTCGCAAAAAGCACTTCCCCCAACGGTCTGTTAAAAGCTACGTGTGGTCTTATTTGTGTGCATGTATACGTGTGGAGTGGTGGCATAGTGGTTCGTGCACTGTTGCAACCTTAGAATACTGACTATACACAGTAGTTCAAATTGTTATTCAAATCTGCCAACTCACTATATCTTCAGTTTAACACGTAGGCTTTCGCGACCAATATTCTGGCGAATTGCCCGATGATGCTGGATGCAATTACCAGCGAAACGTCGTACTCAAATTGTAAATGTTGTGGTTTCACGCTTCAACACACCGGTGGGCTAAAGCAGTGAACTAATTGTCTTTTGTCAACGTGACACTTTTTTTACTGATTGGCCGTGTCGGGTGGTGGAGAGTTACGACACATTTATAAATAACGCGATCTAAACCCAAAAACGTTGATTATGAATCAGTATATCTTTTCATAATTTTAACATCGCAAAAATAGGAAGACAAAGGCTGATGGGCATCATGCTGTCCACACCTCCTGTACATTGTATTGGCCTTAGCAGGTAGTAGCGGTGTAATGTGCATCGATTCATTGATTAATATCGATTGTTAAGCTCGTGATACACGCACCAATTCACGTGTGTTGGAATCAATGTATTTTTTTTAATTATCATGTGTATGTCGTGTGAAATATCTGTGGCTACTCGATTGAACATCAAAGTTCAATTAAGCACTGAATCAGAACTCACTGATGTGCCAGTATGTGGTGCATTATACCCCCGATAGGTGCTTTCTAACAGCACCTGTGCAAACAACATGTATGGCTAGTAAAGAAACAGAATCAGAAGTTTATTGTCCGAGTAGATAACCTACTGAGCTATAACATCTCTTTATCAAGGGTGACTCGGCCAGCAGACAGACACGGCAGCGAGAGTTAATGAACGAGATGTGACACCAAGTGATCTTACAAAAAATGTTACGTACATTCTCATTTGAATTGTTTCGACCTCAGTAGTGTGTTTTGTAAAAGAGTCCAGTGATGGCAGAGTGGAGATCCCCAGAGAAGACACCGGTTGGTTCCAAAACTTTGGAGCAGCTACATGAAACGCTTTTGAACCAAGTTCCGTACTATAGGAATCGTAAACAATCGCACAAATCTTTCCTCTGTTCGTCTCTCTTTGAGATGAAAGATTTGTTTTTGGTAGAATTTCCCCCATTGCTATTATTTTTACCCCCATTAATTTTGCCGTTATTACATTACGGCAGTCAAGCCAATACGCTTTCACATTGCCAATTAATGCGGCGCAGGCAACTGACACATTAAATTTCGATTTAAAGCTTTCGTGACTGCAGGGATTCATCTTCTTGGTTCTTTCGGTACAGTCTGAACGAGACGCTGTCTTTCCGACAGACCTGTTCTTCACCTGAGGACGGCTGCTTGCGTTGTGGCCGAAACGTCGTGAGAATTATTTTATTATGTTTTATTATTATTTTATTATTTCCCTTCTACGTGACTTTACGGAAAGAACCAAGAAAACTGACACATTGTTTGCGGGTTTTTTTTTCACTTTGTCTCTGCGAAGCGAATCACGAATGACATTCATGACATTTAACGTCCCCGAGCGGTGAGCTGACAGATTGTGGCACAATACTGAGGGAAATCTCGAGCCAGGTCTTGGGTGATAGCATCTCCAAATCCAGATGCATGGCCGGCGTTAGCTCAAGGGCATCCTTGGGGGGCAAAAACGCGCCGCTGCTGTTACTCAACTACATCGCTGCGTGCGAGCAGAGATGGGGCCGTTTGCCAGTTTGAGGACTGCACATTTTCAAATGCCCACCCGCGGTTGTGACATCTGTGACGCGCTCCGCTGGATTGCATCTCGGCAACGCAATTCGTTGCAGAGTGTTCGGGAGGGGTGATAGGTGAACGGTAAATGTGCAGTTAAATGTTGACTTAAAGCTTTTGTGACTGCATGAATTCATATTCTTTGGGTCTTTCGGTAAAGTTGCGATCGAAACGTCGTCGTTTTTTGTTATTTTCTTTGAACCTATCTCCGTGACTTTACCAAAAGGCCCAAAGAATATAAAGATGCAGTTGCTTCGGAATCAGAATCTTTGTACACGCGTGCGGTGAACTTCTTTGGCGCCGTACGTAACCAACCGTGCTAATCGGAGGTGCGGGGGAAGGACAACAAATTAAACACAAAAAGCAGTTTTAATAAGAACCTCCCATAGACAGAGCCCAAGAGAGTCCTTCTACAGAGTATTTGGCCTACTATTCTATGCTGGGAGTACTCACGCTTCATCTTACCACACGCGACCCACAGATCCACGAACTATGGCGAACCCATTTGTATAGCTGTGCAGACAGAAAAGGGGGCATTTAAAAAAAAAATTAACCCGTAAAAACAAAGTTTTTCACTATAAATCCTTTATATGCGTGTTCAATGGGCCACAACCCAGCCCACATTGGTCTTTGAAACGGGCGGCTAGAGTCCTCTCGTCCTCTGGCTTGAGATGGCTGCCACCTATGGGTCAGATGATTGCCTGCCACCATTAAGCAATTGGTAATTAAATATAAAAAAAAATTACTAAAAAGTGTAAAATTTTTGAAAAAAAGTGTCACGCACAACGAGTCTGTGTGCAAAATGTCAGCTCGATTGGATCACGGGAAGTGGGTTAAAAAACGACCGAAAGATTTGCACGGTCGTAAGCGCGCAAGCAAGTGAACTTAATATAAAGGATTTTAAAACGGCCATGTCGAATGATGAAATTGAACTACACCACGGCACAATGAGCTACGAAGCCTTTTTTTCACAGATGTCCAGTAGGGGTGGGTTCAGCAAAAAGGCTGAAGGGCCTCTACTCCTCTAGAGCTCTCTGTCTGCCCCTTCCTGGGGGGGGGGGTTGGGGTTAGGTCAATTCCTCTACACTTGCCGCACATCTCTCTGAGGCTGGACTACCCACACGTCAACCCACCGTTACGCGACCTGTAGAAAATTCAATTTCGACTTTAAACTTTCGTGACTGCAGGAATTCGCGTTCTTTGGTTCTTTCGGTGAAGTCACGCGGAGAGAAAATTATCATTCTGGGCGCGTTACGGAGAAAGGAATTTAAGAAACGTGCACCGTTGTTTCAATTGCCGCACCTACAGATCGAACCGGTGACCTCTGGACCGCAAGCACGGCACGGCGAACCACTGCACAGTGGCAGCGGCATTCCTCGAGCATCAACGCGACGCGCGTAAATGAATGAAATCGATAATATAATCTCTCTTTGTTGTGTTTGTCCCGTCTCTCTTTCATCCCTCCCTCCACCCCTCTCCATCGCGCCACGTCTCATCCGTTCCGCAGCGATTTTACAGGCTCGGTGCTCCGCGTCAACGTAAGCTTGGAGCTTTGCGAGCGCCCGTACGCCATCCCTCCCGACAACCCCTACGCCAACGGAACTTTCCAACCGCCGGAGACCTTTGCCCAGGGACTCCGCAGTCCCGGCAGGTGAGGCCCAATGCGGTGGGGTTGTTGCTTTGTTTGTCTCTCCATTGACAACAGCAGCCGCCACTCGGCGGCGGTGACGTCACCGTGGCGAACATGGCACGCCGGACTGCACAATGGCCCGGCACGCACACTGTGGGTTAGCATTAAGAAATAGCAGAAATGACCAAATTGATCGATTGTTTCTCCTTGACAGCCTCTCTTGGCATCGTGTACTGCGGCAAATGCTTTGTTTTTATGGTAGCCGTCCTGATTAGACCAGCCTTTAATGCGGAGAGAATCCATCACGCGTGGCTTATTTAAACTCGAACAAAAATTGTTGCGTTCTTAATGCAAATATTAAACAAACGTGGAGAGTGCATGCGCATTAATAAACGCATCACAAGTAGTAAAAGTTGTTGGGAATTAAGTTAAGGACGTATACTTCCATCCTATCACAGACTCCCCACGTGGACTCGAATGAACGGTCGAGGCAAATGCCGTGAGCAAGCCCGCTGTGATTGTGCATGAGCAATTTTTCACACGTGCACGCAACACACGCACAGCGAAAAGATATTTTTACGGCGCATTTATAGTACCATAGAACATACATGCAATGCATTCTAAAGCACATAACCTTCATTTAGGGCATATATTGGCACACAATGTATTCTCAGTGGGATTTGATTTACTTGCTTAACTTACAAAATGCTGTACTATATTTACCACCTGGTGACACATTGTAATATCATAGCCAATCATCGTAATCTCCAGTGAATGGTAAAACATGGTGAAAGCTATGCATAAATCTGAGCTTGTATTCAGAAAGTGTTTTATTTAATTTTGGTGCACTGCTGTGCACTATTAAATTAGAGCCTGTGCAACGAATCGCCTTCCCCTAGCAATTCTGAAGAATTGTCAAGATTCGTGGTTTGTGATTTAATTCAATCATCAACTTGTGATTTGCCGTTGCTGTACATGCAGAAATACCTCGTTGACGCAGGGCTTCCATGATTCAATGAAATACAAATGTGAATAAGTCAACAATTGACTGCTCTGCAAATGATGCAATACATCTATCGTGGGTGTTCAAATACATTTTTATCGCTGCATCTATGTATTATAGTTGCATGCTTCAGAGTCAAGGTTATCTCAAATCTCTGATATCTCCATTAGATATAGAAACGGGCCAATTGGAGTTGACTCGGCTATACCAGAGCAGTCAGTTCGCTTCAGTCCCTTAGAGCCTCATTAGGCCTGAGTAGACCCTCTTAAGCCCCACTAGACCCGGCTGGTTCTTCCACATAGGATTGCCACCTCTGATGTACATAAAAAACCGGGACGTATCATGGGAAGAAGAAAATCTCACAAGACCAAAGAAGTAGCAAAGCACATTTAAATGCTCCGTCTTAAGTGGTGTATCATTGCACAACTGACAAAAACTGAGAGCTGTAATGTTCCCGGGAGACTTGGCAATTTCCCAGGACTACTGCCTCGGCAATAGGATGATCTTGGGAAAACCAGGACAGGTGGCAACCCCCGGTTCCACATCGGACGCGTTGACAAATGTAGGAACCGCACAGGTCCACAGCAATTTGGGTCTCTGTCTGGCAACGAGCAGGAGACCAATTACAAAGTACAAGCACATCCCAGTGGGGCTGAACCCAAAATGACTCACACGAGTAAAATACAACGTGATTGAAGCGTGCAGGGTGGATGGAACAGGCGTGTGTTTAAATTGGCTGGAAGTGAACACGCCGTATATTTATTTCTTTATTTTATCTCCGAAGCGCACTTTCTTTACTTGTTAAACTTGAGCGGCATACATTGCCCCTAGCAGGCTTGGCCATGCGTTTACTAGGCCCCTCCACGATTCAGAAGTTTGCAACCATGACCAACTTACTGTCCTCTGCGATTCCAATCTGTGAATTATCTCTGCACATTTATATTAATAACTAAGGGTTGTTACGGCCTTCGGCCAGGAAAGTCGCTAAAAAAAATTGCACACAAACGACACATTCACGCAAGCACCCGATGCTCCGTTTTTAAGTTTTAAAATGAAACATCTTTGAATTGTATTATGTTTTGAATTAGATAAAAAAAAGTCTTTATTAAAAGCTTATATCATTTTACATCTGGAAGACTTCATTGAAAAGGACATTTAGTGTGAATTTTCTCTCGTCGTTAAGTAGATGGCCTTGCTGGGGGTTCGGTTCGATGCGGACTTTCACCTGTTTGGGATTGCGGGATCGATATAAGGCGACACAGAGCTGGCGGTGCGAGGTTACCGCCGTCTGCAGATCGATTCCAACGTAATCGAACGTTTGTCCCTGCCCCTCCGTCGTTCATGCAGGGGGCGCGTAGGTTTGCAGCGCCCCCTGCATGAAAACGACGGAAAGTGCAGCGTTCATCACAGATAAAGTTGTGCGCTTATATAAGAGCATAAGTGATTTACGTGACAATTTTTTTTATATCTGTGTAATTGTTTATATATATAATCACATTTACAAGTGCCTTTACTGTCGTTGGAATGTTAAGTTTACACCTCAGAGAAAATCTAGTTGTTTTTTTTAAGTTCTATCTGTGCGAGATCATTGTTCAAATTTACGTCACCCTCTTGCATAGGACGTTCCTAATTATTTCGTGAAAATGAAATTTCAAAAGGGCAGATTTGCGCGTCGTTAGAAATGTGTTAATTTATAGAACATTAAGCATCTTCACTTTGAATATTGCTTGGTACATTAGCCCTTTTTAGAAATAGTTTGTAAAATATATGGAAATTAAATTTTAACTACCGATGGGGCTTTTAATGGAGGGCACATTTCTTTAGAGTTAAAAAAAAGTTCACATGCACCAGTTCACAACATTTTTTCGTGACATTTTGTGCCATTAAAAAATTATGCCAACTTCTTTTATGTTGGTAAGTATGCATTTGTTTAAACGTGGAAGCTCATTAAGCAGCAGCTTAATTTTACGAATAAAGGCAAAACAGAGACTAATGTTATAATTGCTATAGGAGCTTTGATAGCCGCCGGAGTTTACCATCAGTGCACTAAAGCAATTATTCATTCTTTGATGTCAAGGGAAGACTGATCTTTAAAATTAAAGTCACATTCATTGAAAGCAGTCCGAAGACATTAACCTTTCCCCCCCCCCCCGTGCATACGTTGAGGCCCATCTGCACTGAGTTACCAGCAACCTGCCTGAAAAATGTCTTTGGCTTGAGATGGTATCGCAGCATAACATAGCGATAGGGAAAATGTGGTTGGCCACATATGGCAGCACAGCCCACACAAGAAAAATCTCGTATGAAGTGGCCGGAAGTACGCAGTGGCAGGGAGGGAGAGGATGGGAAGCTTTGTTTTGGTAGAGACTTACATAAGGATTGTGTTTGGATTGATTTTACAATAAGTCCATGGGTTTGGGATGATCCAATTCTCGACAAAATTCACGGCGATTCATCTTCTTGGTTCTTTCGGTAAAGTCACGTAGAATGGAAACAATAAAAATAATGAAATAAAACAATAAAATAATTCTCACGACGTTTCGGCCACAACGCTGTCTCCCCGACAGACCTGGTCTTCACCTGATGACGGCTGCTTGCGTTGTGGCCGAAACGTCGTGAGAATTATTTTATTATGTTTTATTTTATTATTTTTATTGTTTCCATTCTACGTGACTTTACCGAAAGAACCAAGAAGATGAATCCCTGCAGTCACGAAAGCTTTAAATCGAAAAATTAACGGCGATGTTTGTCACAAAATCTTGACAATGCTGGCATTTGAGTATTGTTTTTTTGTATATTTTTAATTGAAAAGTGCACCTTTTTTGGATTGTTAAAACACATCCATTATGTTTTTGTTGTTGGATTCAATTTATAGCCTATTATTTTTTACTTTCGTAATACACGGAGAAGATTCGTAAACATGCAGGGACAGTTGAGATGTGAGTAAGCCTTCCTTTATTAGTAAAATATAATTGGTGCAAGTAAAATTTAAAAAAAGTTAGGTGTGAGCGATATTTTTATAATATTTATTATGTTGAACTTCTTTCGCACCGTACGTAGCCAATTGTGCTAATCCAAGTTGCGAAGTATATTGTGCTGCATCATAATAAAATTTTCATTAGCTCCAGAATCAACATAGGCCTAAACTGGTCAACTATAGCCACTCCAATACTGATAGACATCGCGCGCAAGAGCACGTGATAAAAATGTTACATCACATGTCTCCTGTGTTACTATCCCATAAAACACGACGCCAATTATGTGGGTTTCGTGCAAGATCGAAGGGGGGGGGAAGGCTGTAAATATTCATCCTCGTAAAATGTACGTTATCACATTGTTCTCCAACATATTCAGCTTGTCGTTAAATAATATATATAAAAAGGTTCAGACAAAAAATGAACATTTAAAATGTTTTTGTGGCATAAAAATGTTAACGTGCAATGATCACGTAAATGATGAATGCTCAACACGTACTCCTCTGCCTGTTTTTTCAGGCGTTTTAGTCCCCAGAGATATTATGGCTACTAAACCTTAAAAATACTCAGACCACTTAGCAACATGAATAAATGCAAGCAGCTAATCCTCGGCACTGTGGTCATTTAGCTCGAACAATCCCACACAAACACACGCGATTCAGTAAATCGTCACGATTCAGTCGCGATTTCATTCGAGAATCAATTATAATTTACATTGTATCATTAGTGTGAATGTAACGTCCTCTAGTAGCTGAAGAGTTCAGGCGAACCCCCATATATACCATAAAATATATGAATCTATAAACATGGATTCTTATGCACGTGACTCTTTGCTTGTATTGAAAGCTTGCGAAACGATATCGATGACTCGATGCATTGTTATTCCCCGAGGGGCGATGATCGACCTCAGAGACGACGCTCATCTCGGCCGGTTTCACAGAGAGGGAAAGTGGGTGGCCCACATGCTACGCAATCACATTACGGCCCAATCGTGCTGCGTATACTTCTGTTTAATCTCGCTGTCAATATGATAATGGACAAAA